GCCCCGGGGTCGCTGGAGCGGAAGCGGAACCTCGGAGCTATTTTTAAAAACAAAGTTAAGGTCACATTCTCAGCGCTTCCAAAAGCCGGGCCCTGGAACCCCGCCTCACCAGTGAGGAGCGGGTGCCCCGCCGGTGCCCTGCGTTCCACCAGCCGCACCTCCCGAGCGGCAGGGCATCCTCGGGCGGGCTCCGCCGGCACCCGCGGGGTTCCTGAGCCGCCGCTGCGGAGGTGGTCACCAGCAGCCCCCCTCCTCTGTGCTCCGGAGCCATTGCCTCCCGGCCTGGGGAGGTCCCCGTAAGCTCGCTCTCGGTACCGGCGGTTTCGAAGAGGCGTCCTTCAGCACTGTGATTGAGAACCCCAAGTTCCCGGGAATGACCTTTCAGGGGGTGATCTGTGGAACTTTGTTGTGTGGGGCTTGCTGGCCCAGAGGTCTTCCCCCAAATCCAGGGAGCAGTCGTTGCCGCTCAGGGCTGGGAGATGCGTTTCCGATCAAGTTCGTGCGTCTGAAACCGATGTTCTCTGAAAACGCCGGTGGCCACACCAATGGTGAGGCCTGAAGGAGGGTTGACAGCTGGAAAGGAGACTTGAATCCAGCTCAAGGTAACACCGCAGAGAGCCAACAAAGAGTTTTGTTTATCTTGTTTTCTGAGGTTTGCTTAATGCAATCGGGTCTGAGTTTTGCTTACTCAAGGAGTCTAGGATGAACAAATCGTTGGATCAAAAGCAATACATCTTTCATAATGGGCGCGAAAGGAAGACTGCTGCCCGTTTCATCTGATCTGGGCGGAGTGTGGCTTCGAGTAGGTCAAACATGTTGTCTTTGGATTTCGAACAAATAGGAGGAGGAAGTCCCTGCACACCTGTCCCCTGCGCTAGCCTGGATCCTCTGAGGACAGATCTGTTCTGCAAATAAGACTCGTCTGTATGAGAGAGTGGGTGCATGTGTCAAAATACGAGTAATTGTGTGTGGACAAGCATGTTTTATTGACCGATCCTGCACCACAAAAATGTAATTGCACACTCGGAGCTGGCACCCTGGTTTTGGATGTAGCCTCACCGAAGGCATGCCTGCCCGGCCTCCTTATTAAGGACACGGATGCGGGAGGCTGACTGCGTGAATTGAATTCCTGCCCTGTGACTTTGGGCAGGTTCCTGAACCTGCTCGTGCCTTGGCGTCTTCCTCTGGACACAAAGTGTTGTGAGTGCTACACAGCATGTGGGGTGTTTGGTCTTAATAAGTGGGGGCCCCTTGATTTTGTGGTAGAGGCAACCCCTCCCTTTCACAGGGTCTACGGATGCCTCCAGAGCTACACCATCTAAACACCTTTTCACACACCCCTTTGGGCCTGTTAGCCCCCTTCCTACCTGGGCTGTGTTTCCCAGAACAGTGATCTAATTCGGGGATCATGACATTCATTTGGCTTTCTGAATCAGAGGAACTGCTTTGAGTGGGAATCTACATTACGACCGGTGTAGCAATGGGCTCGGGGTCATGGGGTTAGATTCGCCTTTGAACCCGAGCCTCGCCGAAGTCTGTCGCACCGGCATCCCGAGAGCTGCCAGTTGCCTTTTTCTTTCATCCCACCACTAGTAAAATGGTTTTCCTGGTGCTTTTCCAAGAATGTCGCATGAAAAAAAAATGACGCGTATGTTTCTGCAAAGAAAGAGCCATTGTACATTACTGGGCTTGTAAAGAATGGTCTTAAAGGGCTTTTTTTTTGTGTGTGTGTGTGTGTGTGTGTGTTTTTTAATTGTAACATGCTTCCTGAAAAGTATTCAGATCATAAGTGTATAGCTTGATGAGTATCCATCACTCAGATCAAGAAATGACATGACCAGCATCCCAGAAATTCCCCCGGCACTCCCTTCCACAAATTGCTCCCTCCCTCCCCAGCAGGGTTGGGTTGTTGAGCAGTTTTTACACCTAGACTGTGGGGATGAACTTGATGATGAACGTGCTCTGTGCATCAGAGGGGAGAAGCAGCTGCTGGCTCACCTGAACCCAAGTGCACCTTGTCCTGATATGGAGTTAGGCGTCTTGGGGGAGGGGGGGAGCAGAGAGAGTTGGGGTTTAATAAAGCACATGTGAAAACAAGCCTTAGTTGCTGGTTTGTTAGTAGTTAAAGAGAAAAGAGTGAAAGAGAAAAGCCGAGACCCAAAAGGAAAGCTCCAAACCCACTGCCATTGAGTTGATCCTGACTCATAGCGACCCTATAGAACAGGATAAAACTGCCCCTGTAGGTTTCTTTACAGGGGTAGGAAGCCTCGTCTCTCTCCCTCAGAGCAGCTGGTAGTTTTGAACTGCTGACCTTGTGGTTAAAAGCCCAATACAAAACTGCTTTGCCACCAGGCTGTCTTATAAGTCCAGGACCGTTTTGGCGTTTTGGGTTGGCATGTGGTCCTGGCAAATAGCACCTTCTCCAGGAGATGGGAGGCAGTGGTTTCCAGGCGAGCTTGATTTGTGAGGAGCGGTGATTGTCTTTGCTTGCATGTGCAGGATGGGCAAAGGCTCTGTGCTTGCTGTGTGTGTATTGGCTAAGGGGCAGAAGAAGAAAAAATAACTAGGGCACGGAGAAGCCCTCAGAGAGGATGGGGGCTCAACTGATCTTGGCAGATTGGTAGATTCAGAAAAACAGAAGTGAGCATTCAGCTAAGAACAGCCTGAGTGCCCCCAAGGAAGTGGGGACGCCCAGGTGGACATAGGAACACAGGAAGTTGCCAGTTGAAATTTACCATTCTTTAGAGTGTTGCGGGTTGTCCTAGATGTGGCTGCAGAGGCTTTCGTGGGAGCTGGGTGGTGCGGAGGGTGGGAACCACTTGTCAGAAGGCCGCAGACCCAGGGCAGGGTTGGAATCCTGGGTCATCTCTTATGTTCTTGGCCCTAGAACATTACAGGCCTTTACTAGCTTCCAAGGGCATCGCTGAGTAAAACTATGAACGGGTCAGCACTAGGCTGCTAACCAAGAGGTCAGCACTTAGAATCCACCCAAAGACACTCACAGAAAATGCCTGGGGATCAGTCCTTCTGCGATTGAAAACCCTGTGGCACCCAGTTCTACCCTGACACACCACAGGGTTGCTGTGAGGTGCAGGTGGACCCAGTGACAGCTAACCCCAGTATTCGCCTCAGCACTCAGAGCCTACTCATGGTGGTGTAGCAAAATTCAATCACTTAGGACAAGTTGATCATTTAAAGCACTTCTCTCAGGACCCCGCACAGCACATTATTTAAACAACTGCCTTCAAGTGGATTGGGCTCATAGGAACCCCAAAGGGCGGAGTAGCACTACTCCCCAGGGTCCCAGTGGCTACAAAGCTTTAGGGAGCTGACTGCCTGTCTTACTGCCAAAGAACAGCTGGCAGATTTGCCCGGATGACCTCCTGTTGAGCGGGGCCAGTGCTGAATCCGCTTCACCACCAGGGCTTCCTACTCACTTCTTCGTAAAGATGAAAGTTAGCTGCTAATGATTACTTGCGGCGCCTCTGTGAACTCTGCAGCAGTTTCCAAGTTGAAGATAGTTCTCAAAGGTTTAAGTGTGGTGAACCGTGCGCACCACAACCTCTGCCAATACAGCTTCTATGGCTACAGCTCGGTGACATGGGTTATGGACTTTAAAATCATCTTACTGGGGACTTGTACAGCTTTTATCACAATCCATACATCCAGCCATTGAGTCAAGCACATTTATACATTTGTTGTCCTCGTCTTTTTCTTTTTTTTTAGCCATCGTCATTTTCAAACCATTTTCTTTCTACTTGAGCCCTTGGTATCAGCTCCTCATTTTTTTTTCTCTCCCCCACCCCCCCACCCTCCTTCCCCCCCTCCCTCATGAACCCTTGATAACTTATAAATTATTATTTTGTAATATCTTACCGATGTCTCCCTTCACCCACTTTTCTGTTTTCCGCCCCCCAGGGAGGGGGTTATATGTAGATCATTGTGATTGGTTCCCCCTTTCTCCCCAACCTTCCCCTTCCTCTCCTGGTATCGCTACTCTCAATATCGGTCCTGAGGGGAGTATCTGTCCTGGATTCCCTGTGTTTCCAGCTCTTATCTGTACCCATGTCCATGATCTGGTCTAGCTGGATTTATAAGGTAGAATTGGGGTCATGGTAGTGGGGGAGGGAGGGAAGCATTAAAGAGCTAGAGGAAAGTTGTATGTTTCAACGGTGCAATACTGCACCCTAACTGGCTTGTTTATTCCTTGTGGCCCTTAAGGGGATGTCCAATTGTCTACAGATGGGCTTTGGGTCTCCACTCCTCACTCCCCCTCATTCACATTGATATGATTTTTTGTTCTTAGTCTTTGATGCCTGATACCAGATCCCATGGTCATCTCATGATCATGCAGGCTTCCATGTGGACT